TGATGAAAAATAAGATAAAAAATTCATGAATATATTTCCATTGTTGGAACAACTGTTGACATCTTGGTGTGTACAAAAAAATGAGATCAAGCTTTTGTGGCTTACTGAGTATCTTTTCATATCCTTAAACATTAATCAACAACTCTACTTTTAAACTTAGTTAAATGTAGTTATTTTGTGGTTATTTCGTGGGGCCCTCACATATGTCAGGCAAATGCTTTCCCACTGAGAAATGGTCACAACCCCACAGCTATGTTTTAATGATCCTGTGGTTTTCCATTTATGAATGCACCACTGTTCATCAGCTGCAGTTAGGAACTGAGGTAGTGTGGCATTTCATATTAATTGTCATTATTTAATAAAAAATGTGGAAGTAAGTAAATGTTTCTACTCACTCCAGTTGTTTCTATAGACAAAGAACAGCAGATTATGTACTGGGAAAGCACCATCCAGAATTTCCATGAGTTCTTTACGAGTTCTATGAAAGAGTCATCATTAATAAATAACATTCTTTTTAGTCTTATGAACCTGTGGAAAAATCCCACTGCTTTAACTTTCATTATTGATCACTAGTAACGTTATGCTTTTCATCTATCATTTACCTGTTATTCTTCTTTTGGGAACAATGTATTTATGTTCTTTGCCTGGCTTTTTCTAAAGTTATCCATATGTAATTTCTTTAGGGACCCACAAACATTTCTCATCCTTTGGTGTTAGTAATTATTTATATGTTTTTGATAAAGCCTAGAGATAACTTACTTTATGCTTTTTGCCTTTGCTGTCATGCTGCAAGTGCATTTTGGGGTTTTATGGTTGTAAAAAAGAAAAAAAGGCTCACCCAGAAGCTCTCGAGAAAGACCAAGAAGGGAAGAACTGAGAGCACTGTGTAACCTGGACCTAAAGCTGGGTGCTCGAGAACTCCAGAGCATTCACCCCCAAAGTCAGGATTATAGCACAGCAGTGTGGGAGAAAAATACTAGGTTGGCTATGCATTTACATTTTTATAGACAAAAAGTAAACACATAAGAGCATGCAAAAGTGTGTACATCCCATTGACAAAATAATAACCTGATACTATGTTATAGTTCGCATTTGGACTGTCCACCAAAGTTTCTTAGCTTTTCTACAGACCCCGAGGGACCCACATGGCCCTTCCTCCCTACACTACAGTGATGCACCGATCCTGCAATGCCAGGACAGCGTCAAGACCAGCACAGGAGCCGGCGGCGAGCAGAGGCAGAGGGCAAGGCTGCCTCTCTCCCTCCACCTAGGCTCTTCGCATCATCCTTGGATGGAAAATGGATAATGGGCTGCCAACTGGAGGCCCACCCAGCAACACTTCAGATGGCTGGCCTATAAGGGTAGTGTCTCCAGCTCACTCCGTAAAAAGGGACTTAATGGGGCCCAAGGATCGTTGGAGTGGTGTCACTGCTGACACTGAGCAGCTGCTCTCTTCAGCAGCAAACAAGGAACATGTCTGCTGTTCCTTTCCCCATGTTCTTCCCTGAACTCCCACAGGCCGCTGAGCACTCACTGCCTCTTAGCGCCAAGTCAGCTCTACTTGCTGTCCTGCTGCATAAGGTGGATTGGAACGGTCTCTGGAGCCACTGATTTTTCTGAGCCATGAAATAGGAATGGTCAGATCCTGACTCCCACATGGTACTGAATCCTGTCTGACCCTTCTCTGCCTTCTGCATACTCTTTGTCCCTCTCTCACCCAGGGTAGCTTGCTCTTGCATTAGTTAATGACATTCTGCTATGCTGGAGGAAGCTGCTGATAGAGTTGAAGCCTTACTCAAATCCCAGACATGCTTTCTTTCAGGGCCATTGACAGGAACTCTTCTTCCTGTGTTTTGAAGGTGTAGATTGTAGACAGTAGCAGCATAAAACCTTAACCTTTCAGGCAGGTAAACCAGCACATAGCTCAAACCTCACAATACTTCCATCACTCCTGAGGAGGCTTTGTCTGCTTCAACCACTACCAACCACCCCAAGCCCTGCTGGAGCTGAGCACTACCCTGGCCGTGCTCCCAGATGACTGTCTTCCTGCAATCCCAGTTACCTGACAAGTAGGCTTTTGCTCGAGGCCATCCTGGACACTACTGTACTTGCATCTTCCTTGACTTCAGCACAATATGCACAGTTACGGTATCCCATGGAGTGTCAAGGCTCCTGGGAATCAAAGGACCAATGTATAACCCTGATTGACCACTGACTGGACAGTTCATGACTCTGAATGGCTATTGGATCTTAAATGTCCCTAAAGGTCCATGTATTTAATAAATGCTCTGTCACCGGGAGATGGTGCCCTTTGAAGGATGTATTAGTTTGCTTCTTCACTGCTGTGACCAAAAACAACTTGGGGAGGAAAGGTTTTTGTTTGTTCGTTTGTTTTTCTTACAGGTTCCAGTCATCATAGGGGAAACCAAGCCAAGAACCTGAGGCAGGAACTGAAGCAAAGACCATGGAGGAATGCTGCTTACTGGCTTGCTCAGCTAGTTCTTTTAATACAGCCTAGCCCTACCAGCCTAGGGATGTCACCACAGTGGGCCGAGCCCTTCTACATCCATCAGCAATCAGATACATGCATAGGCAAAGCTGATGGCAGCATCTCTTCAAGTGAGGTTGCCTTTCTTCCTAGGCGTGTCAAGCTGTGAAGGGAACTATGACAAAGGGGACAACGAAACCTTGCCCTCTGCCTCTTAGCTGCCTGGTCATCAAGTGAACCATGCACAGCCTGTCATGAAGTTCAGACTCTCCATGCTCCCAAGCAAGAGTCAATGGACTTTAAACTCCTGAAGTCTTACATCACCAAACCAAAATTTTCCAAGTTCCCCCTCCCCTAGGTTATTCTGTCATGACAGGAAACCAACATAAGCAATCCCCCCACAGCCCCCAAACCTCAAAAAGTGTTTCTGGCATGGCAATATGGGCATGTTGTTTGGTCTCAAAAGAGATACACACTGGGACTGTGCTATGGTTGAGCAGGTGAAGTGTATGCACAGTGAGTCCGGCTGTTCTAAGAACCTAAGGTTGTTGATGGAAGCACAAAGTTCACTAAACTATTCTACTCTTTGACTATGTCATAAAATTTCCACAACATAAAGAGGGAAACGTGCAAGCTGTCAATTTAATGGTGACATGTGTTCTAAAAAAAAAAAAACAGTGCAAAGGGAAGAGATTATGTCACTTTTTATGACGGTGTTACTCATGTCTTCAGACTTCCAAGTCACCAGAGCAGTGGTTTTTAGAGGGTCCCTTGAGATATCAGGTCAGGCTCTTGGTGACCCTTCCAGTGCCCCGACCCCTCACCAACTCCTTTCCGGCACTTACAGCAGAACCAAAGTCCCTTACTTAAACCCAGGCCCTACAGTCTGTGGCAAACTGCTGGTCCCTGGTGTCATTCCTGTAAGTCTGCATGGCTCACTACTCTGTTACACTGGTTTCCACATGGTAAGCAAGCCCTGGTGCTGGTGCCAAAGGCTTGCTAGGGCTTCTTCCAAGAAGGTTCTCCTAGATACAACACTCACTCCATTTACCCAGTAGTTACCACATGAAGGAGAACTGTCTTAAATGTATTTGTGATAGAAAATAAAAACATCACACATTAGGTTATTAACAATAGTTTTTTCAGATATCAGTTTGGGTCAAGGGTCAAATCTGGTGATGGCCTTCTTGCTAGCAAAGGTCTGTGGCTGTGCTGGTACTGCATGGTAAAGCAAGGCTAATACAAGAGTCCAAAATGGTTCTACTGCAGATTTATTTTCAAACATTCCATTAACCTATTATCCATTTATCTCACAAACAGGTTGCTCCCATCATGGTGGCCGAGGCCTCGCCCTTTATGTCTTAAAGGGTCCACATCACTGTTTTATAGGACTGAATTCTATCATGGGCTTCAGAGGGAACCACATTCAAACCATCCCTCCTGTCACACACCTCCATCTTACCCATCCCTCTTCACTCTTACCTTCTTCAAGTTTCTTCACAGCACCAATTACTGTGACAGTACTCAGGATGTTGGCCTGTTTATAGCCTATCTCTAAAGATTACTTTCCCGAGACTTTGTTCACTCCTATGTAAGTGTACAGGTAGGAATGCCAGCTTCTGAGCAAAACTCGTCTCCAGGTTAACTACCCTGGAGATGGAGAAGGAAACCTGCTCATTAGGACCTCTGCTCTGTGTCCTAACGTCCTACAGGTTTAAGGACACCAGTATCACTGCTTTAGGGAGGGCCCAACCTAATAGCTTCATTTAAACTTAATGACCTCCAGCCAGGCGTTTCTCTACAGTACGGTCTGATGGTGAAGGGACTGATTCTGGGACATATACATTGTGAACGACAGATTTGGCCTGTAACAGGTATAGGGTTTTCTTTCACAGTCGCGTAAGTACCTGTATTAGGTTTAATGTATGTGTGAAGAAGTTAAAAACCAGAAATAAGCCTGCACCATACACATATAAAGCTACTGGTATTTGGAAAGAATGCTTTCCAGCAAGGCTTATTTGTAGCATCTCTGGATTTACTGGAAAGGTTCAAGTTGAAAAGATGATAGCCAAACCCAGGTATCATGGAGCTTAATTCAGACGCCAAGCCATTACTCAACAGGCCGTCCCTTTCTTCTTCACTTGTTTTGCAAACAAGGTTTCATCAGATAGCTTGGCTGGCTCCAAACTCAGACAACCACTTGCCTCTGCATTCTCAATGCTGGGACTAACGGTGTGTGCCACCATGCTCAGCCCAACAGCATTTCTTGAAATAGCTGCTGACAACTCCTCTAAAGGCTGGTTATGCTTGTTGTCTCTCCATGTGTGGACTCAGATCTCAGCCACCTGCCCCCTGGAAAACCAGGTCTCTGCATCACTGCCAGACTCCAGAGAGGCCAGCTTCCAGCCTGGGAGTTTTCATTTTAACAAAAACTTATTTACCCGTTCATTTCCTCTGCCCCACGATGGTGTGCTAAGTGCCCACTCTTCACAGAAGCAAAGCCATGCTCGTCCAAGTTGCTAAACTGATTGCATCTTTATTTTATATACTGTGTGATCTGGTACATAAAAAAACAAAACAAAACAAAACAAAAAACCACATCACAGTCCTGATTAATATCCTCATTTCCATTTGGTCAATCATTGAAAACCAGCTAAGCTGGAACTGAACCAACAGTTATACGCAAACAGTAAGTTTTCTCTTTCAATTGTCAGTGCAGTACCCAATGAGGAAGTGAAATGCAAACCTGCCAATGACCTTCCAGTAGAAGATGGGAAGGACCATCTTCTACTTTCAAATATAAAGATAACTTGAATGCCTATCCCGACTATGAGCAAACAAAGACACAAGTGGAAAAAGCAAGAGCCTTATGAAAATGACACTCTTTTCTGTAGAGTCTGGCCCCACAATGAGCAAGGTCCTAGACACTAGTGAGGCAACAAGGCGAGTGCCGTTCTTAAGGATGTGTGCTCCTGTGCCTCTCTCTGAGGGTTCTGGAGACCTGTTCTCCACTGGCTCTGCGTACCCCGGCCCTTTGGACTCATGGCAGCATTGAGGCAGACTGGGCTGGCTGAGCCCCAGGGAAGCATCTCGTGTAGAATCTTGTTCTCAGGGTTTGCAGGCCACGCTGTACACAGCATTACACAGAGGTTCCTCTCGGAGACAAAGCCCAGCCAAACAATCCCACAGCCGGTGATGACACTCTGGCTACCTCTTTTTCATGTGTGACCTCATGTGTGCAGCAATGGCACCAGCTATTTCTGCCTTCTTCTTGTTTTGGCCAAAATAATCGAGAAATTCTCCATCTGGTCCAACCAAGTACATTATTATTGTATGATCCACCTGTAAAGTGGAAGGAGGGGAAGAGGCATGTGAGAATGAAGATCCAATCTTATTTTACTGAGTAGAAAATGCTGCAGAAGAGCAGTTAACACCAGGACTTAAATAAGCAGCGCAGCAGCGCTCACAGAAGCACTATCTACAGAACCAGCCTGTGCCAGCTGCAGCACGCACAGCCATGCTCTAGAATGGCTGCTGCTGTGGGTCAGCTTGGGATTCCTTCAGTACTATTCTTCATATACTCACCCGTACAGGCTCTGAGAAGAGTTCACCTTCTACTGGTCTTCGTAAGTATCCTGTGCTGTGGAAGAGCCATGCTATTTTGAAATAGCTTCCACTTCCACTGGGAGTCTCTCATCTGACCCTTTCTCCACTCATATGGAGCTGTTACATGGGAGTTGAACTACTTCAACAATGGTTAGAACTACTTCCCTCAGTGAGTGCCCGGGTGTCCCTCCTCATGTCTGAGGAAGAACCAGCTCTCACTCATTACTGCTTAACCTCAGCTTGCAACACTGTAAGAGAAGCCAGAAAACCAACCACTAGTTGAAGCATGTACTACAAGCCCTAATAGTGATTTAATCCAAATACTTAACAATTCAAACAAAAACTAGAAGATGTTTTTCTTCCCTGGGAAATATGCATTTGCTGTTCTGCCCTGGCTCTCTGAAGTACACTGCTTGGAAACTCCCCACCAGGCACAAATGCTATTCTCTAGGAGCTTCTTCAGTCCATCAACTTCCCGACTATGCTCTTAAAATGTCTTAGTTCCAACCTAAGTTCAGACTAGTCATCACTCTTTCTGGATATTAATTTCCGTAATATTTCAGTAGCAGATCTGGCATCCTAAGTCCTTGGAATTTGCTGCAGGCTTGTTTGGCAAGACAGGAAGAAAGATAGGAATGCCCTCACACATACCAAACTGGAAACGCCCCTCAATATACCCCAACCCACATTATAAGGCTGTGAGGCTATTACCTTTTTATACACACACATTCGTAAGGAGCTAGCAAATGGAAAGAGCCACTTGCCTGCCATCAGGAAAGAATGCTATCAAGAGCCCAGACAGCTGGGACTTCATGTGGAGAATTTGCTGTAGGAGCCAGGCAGGGCTTGGAATTTCTCCTCACACTTGACAGGAGATTCAGAATTATAACTGGCTTTCCTCTCAAGCCTTTCTTTGTATCTTGTATTCCTCATTCCTTCACGGCTTCCTTTTTTAAGAGAATTTTTTGACAATTTCACATATGCACATAATAATTTCATATACACACATAATATAGGACCCCCTTTCCTTTTCCTCTATTTTTTTCCTCCTTAAGAATAGAACTGAAGTATGTTGGACTTACTTCAGAGGGTTAATATAAATTACCGACTAAGATACAGTAAAAGAAAATCTCTACCCTTGTCAAACTTGTTCGTGTTTACGCTTCAATATTCACCTGGTTATTGTTAGGACAAAGCAACACCTGTTCTAATCGAGAATTCTTCAAATTCTAGTGGTTTGTAGTATAGAAAGACACATTAGCAATTCCACATCCTTTCTTCCTTAGTGTGTGCGGTGTTGGTGCATGAGTATGCGTACCCAGTCATGCACGGAGGGCAGAAGACAATGCTGGGCGTCCTCCTCTGTCATTCTATCTGAGCCCCTGAGACAAGGTCTCTCATACACCCGGAGCGAGGCTAGTAGCCCCAGGAGACCTCCTGTTAGCACCCCAATAGTGCAGTTTTGGGAAGGATCTGAACTCAGAGCTTGTGCAACAGGCACTGTTACCCACTGAGCCACCACCAAACCGCTCACTTGTCATTTCAACCTGAGACCAGAATCGTCTATAAACTACAAACGGGCTGGATAAGGGAAATGACATACACTACTCAATGCCTGACCGAACATTACGACTTAGCATGTGTCCGATTTCAAAGCACCCATCCTTTTCTTATCACATTGCCGCTCTTTCCAATTCAGCCGCAGAGGTGGCAACTCATGTTCCTTAAATACACATCTTTACTGCCTACAAAGGCACCGCATGCACACTAATCTTCCACTCGGGATGTCTACAGTCTCTTGGTTCTTCTCACAGGGAACCACTGTCAATAGTTCCAACTGTATTCTCAGAGAACGTCTCTGTACCCAGCACCACCTACCACTGCCACAACTGATACTTCATGACAGTCCCTCGTCAGGCAGCACAGAAGCCACTGTTCTAATCAGGACACAGGAAGTAACTCTTCAAAATGTCTGCTTGGGTTCTGTCCTTGGTCTTTACCAATAATGCCGTAAGACTCCTGTAAGCTAATTTCCAAGTAGCGCCAGTGCTGGGAAAAGCGGTTACTTTACATTCCTCCACTGTCCTTCAGAGAGGACTTCTCAGATTCATGACCATTAACAATGCATGGGCACACCTGTTGTTTCAAGTTCACGTTCCTATTTTTCCTATTCTGACAACAATATTTTCAAACTCTCTAATCACAGTTAAGCTAACAGGTTAAAATAAAAGGCATTATTAGTAAATAACCCACATTTCTTTTATTATGAATTTGACAGTCTTTGTTTAGATTTAAAAGCCATTTGTGTTCTCCCCAAACTATTTTCTAGCTAACTTTTCTATATAACAATGTGGTATTATGTGTATAATAACATGCATGATTAGCTTTGTGCTAAATCCTGTTTGGATGTTCAATTTATATCTGTTGTCTACAGAGCCTACTTTTACTCGTTACCACTACTGTCTAAGATTATGAAAATATCATTCACCTCAAGATGAATCTTTAACACTGCCCTCTTGTTAGTCCTTAAATCTTAACCAACATTTCCATCCATTAACAGCCTCAAGACATAAGGAGTCACTAACAGACAACGCTAAGAAGCTGGAGAGTGTCTCCCCCTGCTGCCTGACTTAGCAATTGCACAGCAGTGAAGTCTCAGACCAGTACATGGGAAAGCGGAGCCTACCACACCTCCTGGAAGCCTCCACGAGATATATACAGCCGCACTTTAATCTTTAAGACAAAAATTTCAACTACCTTTTGCATTACCTGCATCACAAGTACAGAGTTCAAGACCTAAAATGTGCTTGGTCTGCTGATTTTCCCACTGGCTCCAGGCTGTGCGCCGCTGGAGACCCACACAGAAAAAGGAAAGGCCAATTCTTGCTACACCAAGGGCAACCAATTGAAGTAGACTATGCAATTAAGGCTGAAATTAGAAAACTGTCAAAGGGTAGTTGACAGCATTGTGAGACCACATGCACTAACAACTTGCCCCCATTCCTGCAGGAAATGACAGTAAAATACTTGAATAGATTTTTTAACTTATTTTTATTTTCGAGACAAGGGTCTCACTATGTGGCCCTAGCTGGCCTGAAACTTGTTATGTATACCAGACTGACCCTGAACTCAGTGTGTACTACCTATCTTGGCTTAACTAAAATGTTCCAAATAAAACCGGCCATTTGGTTTATTGCAAGATTTCTTTTTGACTTCAGAACAGGACTATTCTAAAATTTAACAAAACGTGTTTATGGCTGGGCAATTCACCCCTCCTACCCTCTTTGGCACTCTCAGGTAAACCCCAAACCAGACACTGTAACTGTGTTAAAGGGGAAAGTCTGAAAAGCTATGCTCCCGTGGGGCCTCCTCTTTTGGTACTTGTACACGTTTCCGTTTCTTCTCACACGGCAGGTGCAGCAAAACAAACCCACAGCAGAGCCTGACTACTTTCCTCAACCTTACAGCTTCAGGAAAAATAGTCCTTTTTCTCTTGTCCCTTTCTTCCATGAATCCCAAATTTCCCCAATGCTGAGGCATCAGGTGTGGAAAATATGGTACCAAGTTGGGCGTAATTGAAGCTTTGTGATCAAAGGTCTGCTTTTATTTTGACGATAAACAGGCTACACGGCCACACAGGCTATGAGCGCAAAAGGGCTAGAGAAGGACAAGGGATGGCCTCGTGTCCCAGTGTTTGCTGTAAAAGCACAGCTGCTGTAATCGCCAGCATCCAGGTAAAAGCCAAGAATGGCCGAATGTGCCTGTCTGTGCACTAACAGGGAGCAGAGACATGCAGCTCCTGGGAGCTCATTTATCAGTCATTCTAGCCAACACACACACAAACAGGCAGGAGAAAGAAAAAGACAGGAGCCACAGCAGGCAGTGGAGACAAACACTTTGCATATTGCTTTAGAGACAGGCCACAGGGACATGGTAAATCAGTGACTCATTAGCCACCCCCAACCTGACCAACCAGTTTTGTAGCCAAAAGGAAATCTTTTGATTAATCATTTCACTTAACATTATAGAAAACTGAGAATGACAACTAAAAATATATATATATATCTATATTACTATTGCACAGTGGTTCTCAGCCTTCCTAATGCTGCGACCCTCTTATACAGTTCCTCATATTATGGTGACCCCCAAACATAAAATTGTTTTCCTTGCTACTTCATAACTGGAATTCTGCTAGTTATGAATCATAATGTAAATGTCTGTCTTTTCCAGTGGTCTTCAGTGACCCCGATGAAAGGTCAATTGACCCTCAAAGGGGTAGCAGCCACAGGCTGGGAACTGCTGCTATATCACCATGCCCACTCTGAATGTGCTAAGAAAAAACACCTGCTTTAAGAAGCAACTTTAGCCCCATACACACCATAAAATCACCAATCAGAAATGGGCCCAGCTGCTGAGGACTCCCCAGACAATGCTGACTAAGCAGTAAATAGATCCTTAATGGAAGAACCACAGGGTAAACTGGGTAGACTGCACACTCTCATTAATGAACCCTGCAATGAACTGAACTATGAAAGTACGCAGCCAGTATATCTCGCAGGCAGTGCTGTTTGAAGATTCTTATTTTTTCTCTTGCTTTTCAATGAAATAAATGATTCCCAGAGGAATACAACTGCTTCTAAAAAGGAGCACTTTTCTTCCCTTCATCAATACAAGGAGAACCAACATGATGCTGATGAACTAAAACTGAAGTAGCATGGACTCCATGTGGTGCCTAAGCATTGCCTTTGCAATTGTGTGTAACTAGGGAAGGAAGTCAGATGGAGTATGAGAAGATAGAATATAAAGTAGCAAGAAGTAGTCACCTTTCAAATATATGTGCCTACCACATTTTCAAACTATCCGAAATTCTCGAGGAATTTACAATCACCTTAGTTTCCTTCTTATTAAGAGACTTTAAAACAAAAATGTGTTTGAGTGCTTAACACATTTACATATATGTATGTATACATATACATACATGTATGTATATATACCAGGTGTGTGCAAGTCCCTGCAGAGTCCAGAAGAGGATATCAGATCCCCTGGAACCAGAGTTACAGTTGACTGTGAGGTACAATGTGCGTGCTGGGAATTGAACATAGGTTCTCTGGAAGAGCAGCCTGTGCTCTTAACCACTGAGCCATCTCTCCAGCCTTTCAGGTTTTCCTTTATCTCAGAATTCATTCAGGCATGTAAAGTGTGTGAGAACCTGAGACCCGGGGCCAGGCCAGGCATTAAAAGCTGAGCATTTACTTACTATGTAGTCTTCATCTTCATCCTTAGGGCCAGGGCTGTAATACACCCTGTATGCTCTGGCCACTCCATCAATCTCTTCTTTTGTGCCAGTCAGACCAACCAATTTTGGAGAAAATTCTAAATATAAAAAAAGAAAGACAAAGAGACACAATAGTCTTTACTTAAAATTAAACCAAAACAACAGAAAAATATATACAAAGAAAACCCTAATGTCACCATAAAGCAGCTTTTGTGCCATTTTGTTCCTGAGTCTCCAAACACTTCTGTACAATTTAAAGAAAAAAAATAAATAAACTCAGAGAACAAATGAAAGTACTCCCATGACATTTGTTAGATCTTTTGGTGACTATTATCAGGATCTGGAGGAAATATATTCCAGTTATTTTACTCACGTTTTAAGATGATTTAGTTACAAACATATGCAGGGTTTTCACTGCATTCTATGGAAAGAAAGTTAGCTGAAGGGGCTGGTACAGTGGCTCAGCAGAGTGAGAGGTTTGAGAGGACTCAGGGTAATATGGGTCTCCATCCTCCCCTTTCCTCCAGGTGCAGGATCTGCACGGAACAGGAGGTGGAAAGACTGCAGAGGGAACTGATGATTCCAAGCAACAGTGTCTCCAAAGACAACAGGAGTGACACACAGATTAACTCAGAGACCACCACAGCATGCCCAGGAGCCGTTCAAACCAGACAAAATCTGAGCAACGAGAAGGGGAAGTGCATGCAAAGTACCATGTGTAGCCAAGAAGCTATCTGCAGTTGATAGAAAAGGGAAAGTCAGTTTTCTCTAGTGAAGTGCTAATGGGAACACCAACCACACTCCAGAGCAGGCCCCAAGTCCAGGAGCAGTGCAGCCAACACAAAATGTTCTCCATTTTCCTTGTGAGCTTTTATTTCATTGTTTTAACTTTTTTTTTTTTTTTTGTCTTCTTAGTATTTTGATTTTTGTTTTTTTAAATAATTTTGTTTAGCTCTTGAGGTGGGAGGAAGAACATGAAGTTGGATGGGTAGGAAAGACTTCTGAGGAGTTAGTGGCAGGTACATGATTAAAACACATCATATGGAATTTTTTGTTTTCTGAGATTTTTGAGACAGGGTCTCTCTATGTAGCCCTGGCTGTTCCAGAATTGTGTAAATCAGCTTGGACTCAAAATAATAGCTTCCCAGTGTTGAATTAAAGGTGTGCACCACCACGCCTGGTAGAAAAAAAAAAAAATTTAACAACAGCAATAACAACAAAGATGGCTCAAAGGATACTTGTAAGAAAATTCATGGTATGGTAAAACAAAACTCATGGCTATAGGTAAATCAGTCATAGAATGTATGTACTATTATGTTTATTAGAATTTATATAATCTTGGAAGTCTCTTAAAATGGTTGAATGAAGCAGGGAATAGTGGCAACATTTAATCCCAGAACTCTGGAGGCAGAGGCAGGTGGGTGTCTGTGAGTTCAAGGTAGCCTAGTCTACAGTGAGTTCAAGGCCAGCCAAGGATACAGTTAAACCCAGCCTCAATAAATAAGTAAATAAACAAACAAAAAAAACCTATAAGACTGAGGTCGAAATTTGCTCCAAAATTCATCTTCAATCTACCTTGTACACACTCCTGAAATATGTTTCTCCATTCTAACGAAAAGAACAATGAGATACAGAATGAGAAGCAATGCCCCCTTGCTCCCCACTTAACTTAGGTGTGAGACATGAAGCTCAAGCTCTAATCCTTTCTGTTTAAAGTCAAGAGCAGAGCACCAGGAATGGGACGCTGCTTCTCCCGTGTCAACAACAGTGAACCTGTAACTCTGAGCTTCATCCTTTGATTTGCCTGCAAAACCACTGCTCATACCACCCATCTATTTTAGAAAGCACTGTTAAGTCTCAGATGGTTCAATACTGAAAACTGTTAAGAAGTTTGCGCAAATTATCAGTAAAACACACCTTTTACATAAGTCGCGATGGCTTCTTTTGTGTCCCTTTCTGGGTCAATGGTGATGAAAAGTGGAGTTATATTTGGCAGGGATGGAATACTATCTGAAAGAAAATTTCCAATTAGTCAATAGCCACCATAAGAGAAAAAAACGGACCCAGCAATACTTGGAGAAGATGGGTTCTATAGCAAAGAGTCAGGACAACACAGAGGACAGATTAAATTATCTGGAGGAGATTCTATCTGTTGGAGCCAGACAGATATCCCATGAAACACCTCTGTTGGTATACAAATGCTGTTACTCCAGATTATTTCTCATAGTCAGCTTATTTCCTAACACAATCCAGTCTCTGTAGTTTCCTTACTACACCGAAAGAATAAGGTATGCTATCAATAAAGACTGAATACACTAAACCAACTTAAAGAGGTATGCTTCCTAATAATAATCTATTACTCCAGATTTCCTTATCTAACCATCAATGTCACTGGGCAAACACAAAGAGAATGCTTCAGTAAAAGGAGACAGAAGCATGATGACATTTTTAAGTGACCTAACACTTGGCATCCAATAAGCAATAAGATGAACATGGAAACTCTTTTAGAACAAATAGTTAAAGCACCCTGTCTAACAAATTACAGGAATGTGAAAAAACAGTACTGTTAAGTAAGTAGTACAGTTAGTGATTGCCTTCTTACCTATTTCATCCACGACTTCAATCATTTTTTCTAGTTCTTCTGGACAGATATCGGGGCAATGAGTGAAGCCAAAATATATCAATACCCATTGACCCAGGTAGTCCTTGTCAGTTTTGGGCACTCCATCATGAGTTATGAGGGAAAATGGTCCCCCTAGTAAAGGCTTTCCAATGCTGCGATGCCGTTGCTTCTCCAGCTCTTAAAGAGATTCCCCAAACAAAACAAGTCATGAAAACCAGAGTCACTGAAATATCTGATACAGCGTCAGCATAGTTAATAGCAACAGTACGTGGTGGGTGAGGGTGGGGTATAAACTAACAGGCCAGCCTGACCTAGAGGACTCCTCACTTGGACTCTTCTCAGGTAACTCAAGGCTGTGTCAAAGAGACAATTAAAACAAACAAAACAACCATCGCAAGCTCCCATGAGATACTCTTGAGTATTAAAAGAAAGTACCTAGATCACAATTCACTGAATATATAGCAAATGCTGTATCTACAGTGAGGAAAGTGAATAAATTCAGAGTGATGAGAAGGCCACACACAATGTATACGAGAGAAGGCTGGTGATGTCTTAGGACAGCCAACATCATCAATAATGGGACAAAGAGAAATCTTGATGCACAGAACCAAATGCGATGGCTGTGTGGTATCATTTCTGTGACAATCCTGTCAAAGGCTACAGGGCCTGCACAAAATCATGAAGAAACATCAGGACAGTACAGACTTAGCAACAATTTACAAAAAACTGCCCTGTGATTTTCAAAGTTGTCAACATCATCAAAGCCAGGTGAAGCCTGAGAAACTTATATGCAGAAACTAAAGATAACCAGGAACAAGGAATGGTTCTGAACTGGATACTTTTATTGCAAAAGCAATATAGATCAAACCTCAAGGCTGAATCTGAGACTGTCTTAGAATAATGGTTCCACAAAGTGTTAATTTTCTGAATTTTGATGGCTCTGATTATGTTAAAGGAACTACACAATGCATGGGGCACCATGTCAGCAAATAACCAAATAATTTTGGAACACTTTAGGTTTACCTCATAAATCTAAATCAAATTTAGCTAAAACAAATTTTTTATTATTACAGGTAAAATTTCACACTAAAGTCAAAAGCAGCTTACATTTAGAGTCATTTGTCAACTGCCTTTCTAACTTTTCAACATTCAAAAATTAATTTCCATGGGTACCTGAACAAACCGAATTCCTGTTAAAATATGAAAAAAGATGCTGGAGAGATGACTCAGCAGTTAAGAGCATTTCTTCTTGCATAATACCTAGGTTCAACTCCCATTGCTGATAGCAGCTCACAACCACCTACAATTCCATTTTCAGGGACTCTAATGCTCTTTTCTGACTTCCACATGCACAAGGCACTCACATGACTCACATGCAAGCACACAGGCAACCCAAACACATAAAATAAATACCTCTAAACAAACATGAAAATTGATCACTTAAAATATTCTGTCCTGGCAAAAGGTGATCTCTATCATATGAATATAGAATTTATATTGCTAAAATTCTAATGCCTGTGCATTCTCATTCCCATATTTTAATATTTCTCTCTATATAATGGCATCAAGAGACTCTAAATAACTGATTTAAACAACAGTTATCTTAATCTTCTGAAACAAATCTTAAAGTCCTTAGAATAGTCACTAAGATATATTTTTTTAAATGTCTTCAACTTTTAAGGTGATTTTCACAGTAATTCCTGAATTTCCCCTCATCACAGCCAGCCTGCTCTTACCCATTGCTGCCACCCCAACTGGTCTGCAGTACCTACTCACACTGCTCTCCATGCCTGATCCCTAGGAAGTCTTCTCAGATTCCGTGATTAAGTCTTCCTTAGGCCCCACAAACCCCTGTACTGACCTCTGGCCTGGAAAAACATCACCTGGTGAAATCCTTGGATTCTACGTCTGTCTCCTGTCAACTGCACTTCAACAGTTAGACACCTTGGTCATCTTTGTACCTACCCTCTGGACTTCCAACTGTCTACATTCAAACTATTTATAGTTATTAAACAGTGGCATTTTGGATTCCATCCCTAAAAAGTCAGACAGTGATGGAAAATGTACAAAACCCAAGTAAATGCCACAGTTCTCATTAATTATACCAATTTTAACTTCTTAGTTGTGCCATGACCACAAAAGATGTCAGCACTAGGAGAGGAGCTCGATGAATGGTACATGCAGACTTTCCTTTACTATCTTCACATCTATTCTGTAAACCTAAAATTATTTTAGAATGAAGCATCTAAAAACAGGGTGGGCCAAATGCCCAGCAGACACAGTGCTTGCTATAAAAGCCTGATTACTTAAGTGCAATCCTAGGAACCTACCATGTAAGGAAAAATAACGTAGAACCAACCCCGAAAAGTTGTCCTCTGGCCTCCACCAGGGCATGCACACACCTACACACACATACACACAATAAAAAGAAAGTTAAAAACAAAAAAGATGGCCCAAAAGGAAAACCACTTACTTTCCATCTTTTCTTTCTTGTAGTATTTCATTCCAGCCCATAAAGATCCTCCAATAGCAAAAGTCAAAGCTAAAGACTTCCAAGAAACAGGCTACTGGGACAGAGATTAAAACAACAAAACAAGTAAGGTGCAAACGTTTAACCACGCTGTATTTATTGCCTAAGTTTTCATAGCAAGTATTCACACAAACTACTGTTACATGTATCAAATGTTTCAGGTTACTTTGAGATAAATCCTGAAAGTTTCTGTGAGCACAGTTGTATCTATTACAAAAGCACTGGTTTCCAAGGGAAAGTTACCTATGTTAAAGTTATTTTACAAACCAATTAAGGGCTGGAGATGGAGCTCCATTAATTAGGAGAGTGCTTGTTTACCATGTACCAAGCCTCTGGGTTCCATGCCAACCAATGTATAAAATCAGCTGTGGTGATGGACACCTGTGATCTTAGCACCCTGGGAAGGCAGGAGCATCAAGCTCAAAGTCATTCTTGGCTACATATTAAGTTCTAGGCCAACCTGAGATATAAAAGACCTGGTCTCAACAAACACAATTGATTACTGGTTTATGTTAATACTGAGGATAAAAATAAGTGACTCTGGGGAGGTTACCCAACTGGCCTCCAAAATAACAGCAAGGCACAAAAGAAGCCTAAAAGTAGGGCTTCCTGAAAACTACCACTGAGTTCTTTCTTTGTACTCTTTAAGACGTAAAAGGTTTGCCACCTATGCCTAGTATCTCGCCTGCTCGCCAAATCCATATTCCTTACTAACACCAGCAAGGTGGAGGCTCTCATTTTGAGACAGAACTAGACCGAGAGGAAATTAAAAAAAAAAAAAAAAAAAAAAAAAAAAAAAAAAAAAAAGGAAGAAGCATGGGAAGAAAGGAAGAGGGGGAATATCCAAACCCAACAGAGGTCCATATTTTTGTTTCAATTTTAACTTGTACACTGAATCACTGAAGGATTCAGCGAGACTGTAACAGTGCTCTGAATTCTGAAATTGTGATAAAGTTGAGACCCTTAAAGCCCAGAACTGATTTTTTTTTTTTTCCTGGAACAAAATTTCAGGTTGTGACCGCGCGAAGTGTGTGTGTGGCGGGGTAGATTATCAAGTTCCGTCAAGGCTGGTCGGTCCTACGGGCTAACCAGGAAACAGTCCTCTCAAGGTTGGGACTATGGCTCATCAGGAAGCAAGAAAGTAATCCCATGGCCTTTCAGCGCACGCCAGGGAGTTGCTGAGGCTGTGACCTAGCGGGATGCGGGGATACCGGACTTCAGAGAGCGCCGAGTCCCGAAGGCTCCATGCGGACACTCACCCCGGGCTTGGTGCGGTGCGAGCCGGTTTGGCCACCCTTGGGCTCCGGCCCGGTGGCCCCCGGCGGTGGCGGCGCGGCGCTGAAGGCTCGGCACCCCAGGCGGCAGCGCGCCTCCCTTGGCCTCGGCCTCTCCGCCGGACTCCAGAGCCCATGGCCGCGAGGGAACACACGCCAGAGCTGGCGACCCTGCAACTGCAGGAACGCAGAAGGCATCCGCGCCAGCGCCGCCATGAGTTCAGGAGACCGCGCCTCCTTCGGCCCGCCCCCCCCCCACTTCCGCCAGAGCTTCCGCTTCCGCCGGAGGCCGGGCGAGGCCGCTCTTTCCCCTGGGCTCGGTGGTGATGCGCTGTCTATCAGGTTGTCAAGGAATCCCGGGTCGGGCAGCGGCTGGCGGTAGGAGATGGATGGCGAGGGCCGTGGGCAGCGGGCCCTGGGAGAGGGTGCCTCGGGGTCCTGGGCTGGACACCGCGGGGCAGGGCGATGGGGCTGGGTGGCCCTGGGTCTTCTTGCGGGGTTCGCTTCTCCCAGCTGCAGGAGACTGGGGATCCCCTCCTCCTGCCTGCCCAGTCCAAAAACCGGCCAGGTAGTGCTGCGAGGTCTCGGACCCCAAAGTAGAAGTCGTCCACGACTTTTGAAATAATCCATGACTTAGAAAAAAAATACTAATAAGACTGAGTATCTAGGGTGGCAAGAAGACTTAAGACGAACGTGCCCACGCTTCCAACTATGGTACAAGCTTCCCGATAGCAAGGAACTGCAAAAGTGTGTGCTGCGTCATACCCATCCTTCGTTTAGTCTCCAGTGGCTCATTTCTTTAAAAGCTCTCTCTCTCTCTGCCCCCCTCCCCCGTCTCTTTATCTCTCTCCTCTCACACACACAACTGATTTTAGAGTTTGTTCAACATCTACTTAATTGACTTGCAGCCACACACTTCGTTTTTCTTTCTTTGAGAAATTTTAACTCGTTTTGTGGTCATTTGCTTTATTATTATTTGCTGTTCACGTGCCTGGCAGATGGTCCCCAGCTTGTTACCAGCTCTTGTTTATGTCTGGGTGTCAGCAACCTTTGTCCCTCTCTCCCAACCCCAACTCTATGGTGGTTTGTAAAACAACATCCTCCGTCCTTTAACTAAAGCACTTTTTTTTTTTTTTTAACCCCAAGGGGATCCCATCGTTGCTTCAGTGATTGTTACATTGGAGCATGATACTGTTTTTCTCCGTGTTTGGCCCATCTGACCTATTGTGCTGCTCCCTACCACAGTAAGTATTGTTGTAATTTAATGGTTTCTTCTCAGGTTAATCTGGAATGTTAAGAAATTTGTTTTAAGCTAGCAGAAGTCTTTAAAAAAACATTAAATAAAGCATTGTTGAAGTTTATCAAAAGATTTTAACACAAATTTAAGAACATGGATTAATAGAAAGAGAGGTGCTTAGGAAGAGGGTATACACCGATAAGGATATGTATGTATATATATAATTTGGGTGGCTTCTGGAGGTACATCTCAAAAACTGTCAAACAACTTTTCCTTTTAATCTCTTCTTTTTCTGGGAAATGAGATTGTCTGGCTCCTGGCAGGGGAAGGGGCACTGGGTAGGATTACACAAGAACCTTGGGACATGTTTAGTTCAAATGAGGTTTATAGCAAGTAAGATTTTTGTTTGTAAAATCTCCAGAAATCTGTAGCTTTACATGTAGGGAAGGAGCAGGACCACGCTCCATGGTGTTATGTGCTTAGACCTTTAAGACAGTTCATTGCTATTTTAACATTCTTATTTGAAATATCTATATAGTGGGAATACCTTTTCTTTGTGGGCAACCTTCACAGTAAACATTATTTTGGGGGGGGGGAGGTTCAAGACAGAGTTTCTTTGTGTAGCCTTGGCTGTCCTGGAACTCACCCTATAGGTCAGGCTAGCCTCAAACTCAGAGATCCACCCACCTCTGCCTCCCAAGTGCTGGGATCAAAGGCATGCACCACCACCACCCAGCTGCAAACATTATTAACAGTGGGGAAATCTTGATTCTCAGATGTCGAGAGACTCCAGCCCATGTCTTCTGCCTCACTTCCCCTCTGAGACTTTGGTCCCTTCCTTAATCATCATAGTTGATGATGGTTGAAGATCTGTTTCCTGTAACTATTTGCTGAACAAGGATGTGTACCCTGCCCATCCAGCCATCAGCCATCTCAAGCTGTCTCATCTTTATAGGACGTGAGAGATTCTGAGCTTGGAGACTGCAGGATCATCATTCTGTGGGAATGTAGGTGAGAGGATGCCATTACTCACCACTTCAAACCACATAAATAATAAAGCATACAGCAGATTGTTACGTCTGATCCTAAGATTAGCCACAAAGCAACCAGGCTTTTTTATCACGCGGTACCTGAGACCTGTGATGTTAGTGTATCATTAAAACTTACCGCAGAATCCTAAGGTGACTTAATTGTGGTGTGTACTTCTTGGAGATTGAGGATACATATTCCAGTTGTCATGAGTGTATTCCTGGCACTTTAATGGTGGCACGTGTTCTCTTTGTGCTGTTGACCAGACTATCAGGCCCATCGGCTTTTGTATGTGCGACTGTTGTCATCTTAGCTTTTGAGTTTAGGATTTAAAGAAGCATACACCTGATTATGTACTGAGAGAGTGGGAAAATACAATGAAAAACTCCAAGAAGAATTATTTGTTTTTTGTTTTGTTTTGTGTTAAGTAAGGTTTTTAATTGTGTGTACGTACATGAGTGCAGGTGCTTAAGGAAGCCAGAGGTGACAGATTCCCCAGAATTGGAGCCACAGGTGGTTGTGAGAAACACCTCAAGTGGGTGCTGGGAACTGAACTTAGATCCTTTGCAAGAACACTCTTAACTTTTGAGCCATTGGTCCAGCCTATGGATTTTTTTTTTTTTTTTAAGATTTATTTTATATGAGTGTGTATAGGTGTGTATATATGGTGTGTGGAGCCCTCAGATGCCAGAAGAGGGCTTTGGGTCCCTTGGAGATGGCGTTACAGGTAGCTTTGAGCCACCCACTGCAGGTGCTGGGATCTGAATGCAGTGTTTCGGGAGTGAGCAGTAAACACACTTAACTGCTGAGCCAACCATCCAGCCCCCAAGAAGGATTTTAATGCTTGAGTAGATTTAAAAAATCAAAAAGGCAGTAGTGTAAAGTTGTAACCATTAAGTATGAATTACACCAACAGCGCCTAAAAGAAACAATGAAGGAAAGCAATGCACAAAGTAAATCCCAGCCTCTGACAGGTCTGTAAGGGAGGCTTAGCTTTGCTTTTAAGAAGGTAAGGATATTTCTCTCTTGTCCTCTCATGCTTTGCAGGTACAGGAGATCTTACCGTGGGGTGCTCTTGAAGCAACGCTCCGTCAGGGACTGTCTCCTCATGGCTGTCAGGAGAGGTGGCAGCCCAGGGGGCGGGAGTAGGAAGCACAGCCCTGCTGCTGCCTGTAACAGTCTCGGGCACTCTTCAGGGTCGTCTGCCCTTGTGAAGCTGGGATTCTCGGGTGCTGCCGAGAGTTTCAGGATGAGTCAGTATGACACATATTTGGAGTTTTGAAAGAAATTTTTTAGATGTGAGTGTGAGAGTCAATCTGAAATAGGTTCGTAGGTGTGGCTTCTCCAGAGGGTAGCCAGAAGAGTTCTTAAGTTTCTACTCAGCATTTCGGATCACTACCAGTCAGCACTCGGTTCCCTCCTGAGGAAGGCTCAGCAAAAGGTTTGTTCCCCTTCTGTCTCCACATGTTCTTGCCTAAGGCAAAGTCTTTGTTCTGTACTCAGCTGTAGTGTTTTTTAATCAAACTCATGTGAAGAAAAGTTGGCTTTCACGTTGTATTCAACCCATCTATCAAATTCTGTTAGCCAGGGATTTTCCTACTAGCTCTGCTCTCATTTTCTCTGCTGCTAAAAGTGTCTTACAACTTTTTCACACTTTTATCTACTGGATAAAAATACTAAATTTTAATTGTAACCAAATGTTGAATGAGTTGTTAATAGTACCTCTAAGCCCGCTTTCATAGAGTAGCTTTCAAAGGTAGCATGTTGTGTAGCGTAAATATGGAACTAATTGAACAGAGGCCACCAAGGTATCAGATGGGTTTTCTTACAATGTAGGTACGTCTCCTAGGAGAGACAGGGCACACAAAGTACCAGTTGATGCTTATTCTATCACCAGTTGATAAGGTCAGAGACTTTAGGACAAACTAAGCTGGAAGTTTTGTGAACCTCCTGGCATGTGCCTTCTTCATCCTAGGACTAGGCGCCTGTGCCTAATCACAAGCATGCCCTGCCTCACACTTCCTCTTACTGACACTGACATTATGAAATACTTCCTCTAAGTGTGTGTGTGGGGGGGGGGGAGTATCGAATTTTGTGGAGATGGATATTTTGAAATAGTCCCTGTCAGTTGGTTGCTTTTTCATTTCCCCACTGGAGATGGATTAGAGTTTCTGGCCTCTGTCCACCAGTACAGGCTACTTGAAGCCCACTTGTGTCTATTTCCTTGAATCATAAGGTGCAGCCTGGAACTAGCCCAGAGTGATTTCTCTGCCTACATGTTCTCTTTGCCCAGCCTTACTCATTGTGATCCTAATTGTCTGTCCTGAATGTGGCTTGGTCCTTCCTTTTGGACTGTTATCTTTCGCCTAACAGGTCAGAGTGAGGTGGAGCAGAGACCCTCATGAGGGTAAGAGAGAGATTCTCAGGCCTTCATTCATTACTTGTTACCTAGTAAAAACGGTCTTGATCTTGTCAGTGTTATGTGGTCTACCTATCCCTTACCCCTCTTATCCCCTATTGCCACTCTGTCACAAGGAAGTGACACCGGCAGGTGCAGGGTGATGCTATGATATCTCCAGAGATGAACTGCCTGTTGATCTGTGTCTGATACAAGAAGAAATTTCTGAAGACATAAGAAATTTTTGCAAATGCTGTCATCATTGTCACTGGAATCTGAGGTTTCTGTTGGTTTCAGATCTACTAGTGAAACCAGGAGGCAGAAATTCTACAAGGAAATAGATATCTACGAGAGGTTAGGGGATTGTCAGTTAGGTGTTGGGGCCTTTAAGGGGTAGAGGATGTGTAATTACCCCTCATGCTGGGCAGTCTTTTCTCTGTAAGTCACAGTTAACCCAAGACTTGCTGGGAATTGGCACCTATATTTCTGTTGAGAGGCCCTGCTGTTCCGCCAGTCAGCCCACGGTAGCTGAGGAGTGGCTGCTGTTAGAAATGCCTATAGAACTCAGTAGCTGGTGAGAGGAGGCGGGTCTACAGAAGAGGAGCCCAGGGACCCGGGAGGTAAGACCCAGCAGAGACTGCTTACACTACACAGCAGGGCAGATCAGAGGGGAGGATGAGCCTGAGCGCGCTCTGTTGCTATTTCCTAAAAAAAAGCCCAAGTTCAGGCCTAGTACCTCATGACTAGGGGAATTACTTGTCCCGTTGCCTCTCAAGGAATCCGATAAAATGCCTGTTCTGTCTGTTGCCTTGGTTCAGCTGCAGTCCCTTAACCAGCTTGGTCCCCACCCTCCTCTTCTTTCCTTTCAAGTAAGTCTTTTGCCTGGACCCCAGCCCTGCCCCACTCCAGTTTAACTTTCTCATAGTGAGATGGAGGACCCTTCGTGTCCAATGTTAACAATCTGGTTTTCTGTTTATTCAAGATAACTTAATTAATAACACCATATACTGTCTCCCTTTCATTGTCTTTAATTTTTTTTTTTTTTTTTAATGAGCTCAGATATATTGTCCAAGGCTAGACTTGAAATCATGACCCTCCTGCCTCGGACTCCAGTGTCCAGGCATTGCAGGCATACACCATGACACCCAGCTCTGGACTTTAGTTTTAAAAGCCGTATGTATGCAGTTTCAATTCTTACTCAGAACAGACTGGAAGTGTGCACCCCTTGTGTCCTTCTCGCCTCTTTTCTTTAGAAAGTTGTCAGACCTTAACCTAGCCCCTTGCTCCCCCACACCGAAGGTGTGAAGTAGAAATTGCACTTGCAAGAACTGGCTGGGAAGTGATAGAAAGTGACTCCACTTGCCTCTTGGCTTAAGGGGAACCTGCTGGATGACGGGTACAGTGAGCGACTAAGGTGGTTGTAGCCGGGACCAGTGGGTGCAGTGATTCAGTAGTTCCCAGGACGCTTTCTTTCATTGTTCATGTTTGCTTCCTTCTGTGTTACATTTCATCTCTGCTGATTTCTCCCAGAACTGTGTTATGGGACAGATGAGAAAGTTACAGACCACCACACATATCAGGCCAAATTATAGTCCTTTTCTTTTGGCTGAGACCAAGAGTGGGTTAGCGCCTCAGGAAGACTCACGGTACAGAAGCCCCAGAATATGGCATTTTTTCAAGACAAAAGACCACACAGACCACAATTACATCATAGATGAGGGTCAGGTTAACATTGTAACATCTATTTCAGCAAAACATAGTCACAGCATGACAATTAATTTTGATTTCTTCACTTTCAGTTATTTATCTTTAGTCTGTACAGACATTAATTGTTTGGGTAATGCATTAGGACCATGATCAGGGGCATGGAAAGTCCCATATGTGTTGCCAAGATAGATGTGCCTGTGGAAGGGGTTGGGCTGAGAAGTGCATAAACAGAAGATGGAGTCAGAACAAGACAGCGTTCTTTACCTTAGTCACTGCCCTTGTAGTTTCCAGCTCAGCAAAAGTAGCTGCCACAGCTGTGCTCAAGCTCAACGTTGCTAAGCTGGTTTATTGACCCAGCCTGGGCTGTGTCCTGACCCCTATGTGGTCAACCAGAAAAGGGAGGTCACAAGCCATGAACTCAGAATGGAAACTGGGAAGAAACTGGGGCTGTGGTTACACAAACAACAGGAAATGACTGTTGGGAGAGCAAAAATGACAAGTGCTTTTTGGAGAGAAGATAAGATCACTGGGACTAACTAAACCTTCTCTAAGAGATCCACAGAACTCATTGTCCCTCAAATGCTCTCAGTTTAAATATCTAAACAAACAGGTTCACCTGGGAGGGCATGCTCAGGGCAGTTTGATCTTGAGCTTTTGGGATGGTGCAGGCTAGAGACTTGTTGCTGAGTGGTCTTCAGTTTAATCCCATTCAGCTGTACTTGGAAGAACAAAGAGCTGAAGCTAATTAGACCAGAGATTTTCAGTGGACTTTGATGAAGTTGGTGTTTCTTGAGGTTTTATCTGAGTTCTCCACCTTTCCAGTGAGTGTCCTTCGCTTACAGGGAGGTTAGGAAACTACTGCCCATCACACATGTGTAAACGCTGTCTAGGAGGGTTTTCAAGTGGAGACTGGAAGAAGAGAACAAAATTTTTAAAACACTCTTTTAGAACGTTCAAGAAGAAAGAAAATATTTGTGTGAGTGATCACATGTACATGGGTGCACTTTGAAGGTCAGAGGACAACTTGGGGGCGGCTCGGCTCACTGTCGCCACCATGTGGATCTTAGGAACTGGACTCAGGTCATCAGGCTTGGCAGGCAGCAAGTACCTTTACCCACTGAACCATCCAGTGACAACGTTCTAGAGTGAGGCGAGCCCCTCACTCTCATGTGGAGCTGAAGTCTGACCCCCGTGCTGAGTGGGCTTGGAGCCTCTCTCTTGGGAGTATACTTAAACTGGGATTTCACATGTCTTTGGAGGATTAATAGGAACTCTGGTGGCTAGACAGAGCTGGTGGCTGGTGAACAGGAGTCAAAAGGATGTTAGAAAATGAGAGAGAGGATTTTTAGAAACAGCTAGGGTTTGACCGATTCAGCTAGAACTACAGTGGTTCATTTCTCATAAGAACAACTGATAATGTAGCACCTTGGCCTTTTATGTCTGTCACAGTCCTTAGCGTTCAGTCTGAAATCGCCACACAGAGACTACCAGTCACATGTGTAGGTGGCAAGAGTGTTTTATTTCACGAAAACCTGCATGCAGGGGTCAAACCATTTCACACTGGACAAAGGCACTCAGGCCTTTTTATAGGAAACTAGGGGATTCCAGCAAGGGTTAGGTAATCTAAAACCTCATTGGTACATGCCAGCAAAGTTATAAGGGTCAATTTCTGATTGGCTTGTGTCCAAGTGGTCAGTGGACTGCATTCCCCTGCTATGAATATTTAACTGCAGGATGAGATAAGGCTGCCGGGCACAGACTCCCATCTTGAGATATTTTCCCGTTCTTGTGGTTATCTCCAGGCTGTTCGTTGGGTAGGGCATTTTATGGTCTGTTTCTGGAACTGGTAACCTATGGCTTAGTCTCTGGCACTGGTGACTTATGGCCTAGTCCTAAAATGGAGACAAATTGGAATTTATGTCATCCTCTCACTTAGTATTCTTAGTTCTTTTAGCATTGCAAATTCTGTGTATAAATAACCTAATGAGAGACTTCATTGAGTTTAAGTGGAGATTAGTGTGGGATGAAAAGATTTTGTTTTCTGGTTTAGAATCTGGGGGTGGTTCTAAGATTAGGAATATTGGTTCAAATTAGAATTCAGCTGCTCATGGAAAAGACAGTGCTTGCATTAATATCATAGCATTTGTATATTTTATTTATGTATTTCTATGTGATTGTGCACACATGGATTTGAGAGCCCTGGCAGGCCAGGTCCCTTGTAGATGGAGTTTAACAGGTGGATGTGAGCATAATGACATTGGTGCTGGGAATTTGGGTGCCCTAAAGGAAGTGCTCTCAACCCTTGGGCATCTTTTCCGCCTCTGCAATGGTTTTTTTTTTTTAATTTAAAATTATTCTTTGTATTAGTTACTTTTCTGTTTTGCAATTTAAAAAAAAAACCAAATAACTTAAGTAAGAAGGAGTTTATTGTGGCTTATAGTTCAGAGGAATAAGGATCTTTTGTATCCAGGGGAGGTAGCTCTTACCTTTGGGAGGCAGAGGCGGGTGGATCTCTGTGAGCTCTAGGCCAGCCATGGTGTCACAACAGGAAGCTGAGAGGGCATATGTTCAACAGCAGCATGAAGCAGAGAGTGAGCTGAATGTGGCGCAGGGCTTCAAACTAACAGCCTCAGCAGCTTGTTATTCCAGAAAGCCTGCATCCCCCTATAAAGTCTCCAAAATATGCCACCAACGGGAGCAAGACACCCAAATTCCTGAGCCTTTGGAGACATTTCTCATTAAACCACTGTTTTCTCTTTATATATAATCACTGTCTTCCCTTAGCACTTCAGATACCAAACAGGAGAGACTTATTTCCACAGGCTGTTCATCAGCAAAGAGAAAAGACTGCCTGCTTGAGTATCGCAGTGGGGTCTGCTGTGGAGGGTAGAGTGGATGAGCCAGGTGTTGGTACAGCATGATGGCTGAGGCTTGGAATCCTTTGATTTCGGAAGAGGATGTATATCAGTCATGGTTAAAATGGGTGGAAAATGAGAAATGATTCCAGATTTGAATTTGGTTGTTATAGTTGGAATTCCTTATGGTCAGTGTGATAGTGCTTTTGTGACAGAGGTTATCATCTTTCTTACAGGGTGAGAACCAAAGCCCATATACTTGTCCCTCCTTCTTGCTGTCTAGTTGACTAACCTATTTTCTCATTTTCTTTTGTCCATTGGAAAGGTGCAACATTTTAACTTGGGTATCTTTTTCCTCTCTTTAGATTATTTAGAAGCCTGCTTGGAAGTTATGTCTGACAAGCTGGACCCCAATTCCCCGGCTGATGGATCAGAGCCACTTTTTTCCTTTGGAGTTATAGCAGATATTCAATATGCCGATTTAGAAGATGGATACAATTATCAGAGAAGCAGGCGGAGGTACTACCGACACAGTCTTGTTCACTTACAGGGTGCCATTGAAGACTGGAATAGCGAAAGCAGCATGCCCTGTTGTGTCCTGCAGCTCGGAGACATCATTGACGGCTACAATGCACAGTATAAAGTGTCAGAAAAGTCTCTAGAACTTGTCATGAACACATTCCAAATGCTTAAGGTCCCAGTTCACCATACCTGGGGAAACCATGAATTCTATAACTTCAGTAGAGACTACCTAGCAAACTCTAAACTGAACAGCAAATTTCTAGAAGACCGGATCGTGCAGCACCCTGAGACCACACCATCAGAGGACTATTACGCTTATCACTTTGTGCCGTTCCCCAAATTCCGGTTCATTTTACTTGATGCTTATGATCTGAGTGTCTTGGGCATAGATCAGTCTTCTCCAAAGTATGAGCAGTGTCTGAAGATGCTGAGGGAGCACAACCCAAATGTGGAGTTGAATAGTCCCCAAGGTGAATTATTGCTTTGAGCTGAGAATCTAACACATTGTCTTTAAATGCTTCAGCTACCTTTTATTCAGCAGGAAGATGGATGACTAAGGTAAAAGTTTATTGTCACTGTTGTTCAGAGTCAGGTTTCTTACAAGCTTGATGTCACAGAAATTGGCTACAGGTCACTCAAATGTCAGACATTTAACACCTATTTGAGTGCCCATTCTGGAATGAGAACTTTGTAATTTTTTTTTTTTTTAATTTTTAATGGAGAGGACCATAGCAGTAGGTAGGTAGGGCAGATACTAATACATAGATTTGTCAGCTTTCCATCACTGATCAATACCTAAGGTAATCAACTTACACTGAGGACAGGTCTGCTTAGCTTACGGTTTAGCGAGTTGTAGTCCATAGTCCCTTGGCCTGGTTGCATTTGGACCTGTGGTAAAGCAGCACATTATGACAGGGAGTACAGACCAGAGCAAGCTGCTTACTACAGCCAGGAAGCAAAGTGGGAGAAAGGTGAGCTTGTAGTCACCCCATCAAGGGCATACATCCGAGTCTTGACTTCCCTCACTAGTTCCCGCCTCTAAAAGATGCTGCCACCTCCCAGCAGCACATGAGCCTTTGTGAACGTTTCAGATCCACACGAGAGCAGTGAGTGAAACCAAAGCAAGATTCTGCCCTCAGTGATAACTGTACTGAGAAAATGGGTCACAGCAAAGAACTAGGGATGCTGTGGGTCAGGTAGGCAGCCAGAGGCGCTCCAGGGACACAAGTATGTAAGCTGCTGTCTAGACAACAGGACTTGCACTTAGAAAGAATGGAGTGGGCACTGGCAGGCACAGGAAACACAAATGCAAAGGCTTTAAGTGTCATAAGACTGGCGGGGTTAACAGCACAGGGTCCACTGGAGTGAAGGTAACAGGAACAAGAACTTGAAGGAGGGCCCAGGACAGAGAAAGGGGCTGCATTTTCCTCATAATAGAAAGCGAGTTTAATAAGCAGAGAAAACGAAGGCTAGAATTCACATCACTGTTATTTATGCTGCACATTCTTAAAATGGTGATCAAATGTCCCTAAAGAACATGTGTCCTCGCATTAGCCAAACTTAAATGTCCAAATGAGAAAATGACATTTTTGTGACAGGTCTAACTTGCTGAATTCATTCAGGACTTTCTGAGCCCCAGTATGTCCAGTTTAATGGAGGATTCAGTCAAGAACAGCTGAACTGGTTGAATGAAGTTCTTAAGTTCTCTGACACAAACCAGGAAAAGGTGGTGATTGTGAGTAAGTATGTCAATTGCTTCTTGGTTATACTGGCATGTTAGAATGGGGACATTAAGCCATGAAAGAATAGTATTTAGCCCAGGCAGTGGTGGTGCCTTTAATCCCAGCCCTCGGGAGACAGAGGCAGATGCATCTCTGTGAGTTCTTGGCCAGCCTGCTCTACAAAACGAGTTCCAGGACAGCCAGGGCTACGCAATGAAACCCCGTCTTGAAAACAAACAAACAAACAAACAAAAAGAATAGTAATATTTACGTTTTGATACCCTCTTTCTGTAAAACAGATACTTAATTTTGTTTTTTAGATTGTAAAATAACTGTATTAGTGTATGAATGTGTGAATGTATCTTTGTGTACCATGTGTTTACAGTGCCTGAAGAGGCCAGAAGAGGGTGTCAGATTCCCTCTTCTCAAATTACAGTTGTGAGCCGACATGTCGGTGCTAAGAATTGAATCCAGGTCCCCTGAGAGGGCAGCCAGTAATCTTAACTGCTGAGCCATCTCTCCAACCCCCTTAACTGTTTTTCTTTGAAACAATCTAAATCTTAGCATTTAAGAATGAGTCAGGAAAGAATTGTAAAATAACAAAAACATCTTGCTGTCTTTTACTGTCTCTGAGTTTCCCTTTTAGGTTCAAAGTGGACTTGTCCCAACTGAGATCAAATTATGTACAAATTATGGCCCCACCCAGTCTTAGCCCTAAGAGCCCTGGCTGACCAGTAAAATTGCTAATGCTGGGCCACTGCTGCCCAGCTTAAGCTGATATGAGATGGGACAGTCGAGCACTTGCCGTTCTCTGCCAATCCCCCAGACCCATGGGAATTAGCTTTCTGTTATTTTACTTTAGGATCAGTGTTAAGACACACAACCATTAGAGATAATAGGCAGCTTGAAAGTATGGCTGCTCTCACATGAAGGGAGGCCATCTGCCTCTTGAAAGTATGGCTGCTCTCACATGAAGGGAGGCCATCTGCCTCTTGGTTTTGGGGACATTGTGACTGTTGACAAACAAAACCCATGAACTGCAATTTTCTCTCACATGAAGCTGTTGATGAAAAAACTTTGAAAATGATAGGCTGTTCAGATGGTTGATAATAAGAAATTGTGTTTCTGTCTAAAGTGGATTGAAGAGGGGTGTGTCTGCTGCCATTTGACAGTCTGTGTAGCGTCTCATAGCCTTATTGTAACAGCTCGTGTCAGAGAAAAGGAGGGAAGGACGCACACAAGGGCTTGGGCACATGTATTCCCTCTTGCTTTAGGGGCCTTTGAGCTATTTCTTACTTGCTTATAAACAAGTAGGTATTAAGTGTAACTTGTTTAAATGAAAGGATAAAGATGGACAGTAGCAGAATGGAGGGAAGTGACTGGGAAGAAGCCAAGGCTGGAGCTGTAATACTTCCCTTCAGAGTAAAGCTCTGGGTTAGTGTGCGGCTGACAAATGGGCCGTCACTGCAGATTCAAGTTCTACCTCTGTGCCCGCATATTTCCTTGGGCTCAAGGTCAGCCTTCCCTGCTTTGTTCTGTTTTCTCAGCTACAGGTTGGATGTGGCAGCTGTGATCTCCACAGATTATCTAAAGTCTCCTTAACTGTTTGTGTTGAGTGGCATTTTTATATAACAGAACCCCTGGGAAGCCCCAAAGCTGTTTTCAATCTGTAACATTCCTATTGTGCAGATCAGTGAAACTGGATTCCAGCATAGAGTCTGGCTAATTCCTGGCTGCCTTTACAGACACCCTACACAGGATGTCCTTGGGATTCTGTAGGCCTCAGAGATCATTTTCCTATACAAATATATCTTCCACCTTATATTTGAACCATCTATCTGTCTGTCTGTTCGCTATGTCAAAGATGTGGCTGTAGACTGCCTGCTCCGTAGCTCAGGCTGGCTTTGAACTCATGCACATGCTCCTGCAGCTTCCCAAGTGCTGAGATTACAACCACACATCACCATGGTCTTTATGTGGATAAAAAAGCATTATGCTTAGGTTTGGTTTCCTGAATACTAGCCGTCGGTCTTTCTTCTTGATGGAAAGAGATTTAATTGGCTCCAATTTTTTCTTTAACAGGTCACCTTCCCATTTACCCAGAGGCCTCGGACAGTGTGTGCCTGGCTTGGAACTACATGGATGCCCTGTCGATCATATGGTCTCACAAGTGTGTGGTGTGCTTCCTTGCTGGCCACACACATGACGGTGGCTACTCTGAGGATTTGTTTGGTGTACACCACGTCAACCTTGAAGGAGTTATTGAAACAGCTCCCGACAGCCAGGCCTTTGGCACAGTTCATGTCTACCCTGACAAAATGCTGCTGAAAGGGAGAGGCAGAGTTCCAGACAGAATTATGAACTACAAAAAGGAATAAGCTTTGTGTTTTTAGTCTCATTATCTTGTCTGCCTTTGTAGAAAGAGAATGATGTTTTGTGTTTTACCCTGTTGCATAAAAAGTTAAATTCTCGGTCCCATTGTGAAGTATTCTGTTTATATACAAAACGGATTTGTGGCTTCAATATGTGTGAGCAAAGATAAAATTCAGAAATGTTATTTTCAGATAATAGATCCAAAATTTTTAGTACTGAAAGCTATACGAAAAGTATCAACTTTACCCAGGAAGGAGACGCATGCAGGCGTTAACTCCAGCTCAGCACATGGACGGCCAGGCAGCCCTTCTGACCCTGCTGCGTGAGTGGGCTTTGGACCGTTTGCTTCAGAGCGCCTGTGCCTACAGATGACATTCCCATTCTCTGACGGAAAGCTGAGGAGTTACTTCAGGTGTAAGTGTGGTACTTGCATCTGAGAAGGGCACTGTGCAGGGAAGTGTCAGGTGATACCAGAACAAGTGCTGGCTGGCCTGGTCTATTTAAAACACCCAATGCTGTGTGGACCACAGTGTACAAAATGATTCATCTCTGATTTCCTCTCTAGACAAATGGAGTCCATTTAACTCATTGTTGCTGTGTCAAGGCTCATCTGCAAAAGTCTTGACAGCAGACAGACTGTTGAAGAGTAGGTATTGATTCAGGGCTGAGAAACAGCAATACTAGTTCTGTAAGTGTGCCTGTCTGTGAAGTGCCTCCCAGAAAACTGGCTAGTCCTTTTCTCTGACTGCTCCAGTGAATTCTTGCATATGTGTTGGCTCGCCACGCATATTTGCTCACTAGTCATTCTCAAGGCCTGGATTCTTGAATTATTTCACCAGGCTGAAAACAAGGCATTGGCATGGCCGGGTTCCTGTGGGAAGCTGTGGGCAGAATAATCTTCCTCGCCTGTTGCAGCCTCTCAAAGGTGCACTTTGGCATCACTTGGCCCTCTGGATAATCTAAACCTCTGTCAGTGTCAGGATTCTTGATCTCATGTGCAAAGTTTTATCTCACGGTGTAAGAGAACAGATCATAACTCTACGCAGCCGGCCACAGCACAGCTGTCCTGTGTTCCTGTGTACACTGATGTCGGTCACCAGGATGGACAGCAGCTTGCGAACACAAGTACTAATGTGAGGATTTGCCTGCTGCCGGCCAAAGGATGAAGAATGGAAGAGACTCAAGTTTCATTGAAGAGATTAGGGACAACATGGAAAAAACAGAAGGAAGAAAAATGTGCTAGATGAGTGGGGACGATCAGTGAGTGAGGAATGGAGAGTGAAAACGTAAGAGGGACACTTTGCTTCTGAGCGGTGGATGTGTCTAGAGAACAAACAGTGACGGGCAGGAATAAGAAAAGGGAGAAGATTGTAGGGTTTTGGGGAGACATTCTGAGAACTGGAATGTTAAAATCTAACAATTTCTCTTTCATTTTTTGGTTTTTCAAGATAGGGTTTCTCTGTGTAGCCTGGCTGTCCTGGAACTCACTCTGTAGACCAGGCTGGCCTCAAACTCAGAGATCCACCTGCCTCTGCTTCCAAAGTGCTGGTGTTAAGGGCATATACTACCACAGCCCGGCCAGCAATTCTTTTTTTTTTTTGTTGTTGTTGTTGTTTGTTTGTTTGTTTGTTTGTTTGTTTTTTGAGACATGGTTTCTCTGGCTGTGTTGGAATTCCCTCTGTAGGCCAGGCTGGCCTCAAACTCAGAGATCCACGTGCCTCTGTCTCCTAAGTGTTGAGGTAGGTTAAAGGTATTTGCCACAATGCCCATCCGACCAACAATTCTTTTTGTTCTGTGCCTTGTTTTGATTTGGTTTTTCGAGACAGGGTTTCTCTGTGTAGCCTTGGCTGAGCTGGACTCACTTTGTAGACCAGGCTGTCCTCAAACTCATAGCGATCCGCCTGCCTCTGCCTCACGGAGTGCTAGGATTACCGGCATGTGCCACCACGTCAACAAACAGAGTATAGTTCTCACCTCTCCAAAGCACTGTAAGTGCCGGTGGCTGCCGTTTCCTCGGTATTACGACTACCTTTGTGCTTCTAGTGAAGGCCAAGAACTTCATCCTGTGCCGTTCAGACCTGCAGGTCAGAATTAAGTATGATGGGTAGAAATGCAGAAGTATCAAGCTGTGGAAACGATTCCAGGCCCAAAGCCTGATGCCCAATACTGGTTTATGGGAAGGGCAAGAAAACAGCACTACCTAGTGGATTCTGGAAGCCACTGGTCCACAATACCAAGAAGCCGGAATTGCCCCTGATAAACAGCACATCTCTGTGCTGGGATCATTTGGTCTTGCCTCCAAGAATCTCAAGACCCTCATGGAAAGAACAGCATAGCTGGCCAGTGAAGTCACCACACCCAACACCTGGCTGCCAGCAAAGAAAGTGAATTGACAGTACACGCACACACTTCATTTGTACTGAAATAAAGCCATAAACACTGAAGGAAGAGGAAGTTTAGCCTTCGATATTGGCCAGCACTATATAGACCACACCTTCAAAAAAAAAAAGATATTCCATTGGTAAGGACACAGGCAAGTATACACTGAAAGTGTCTTCCATGCTTCTGTGAGGGAACAAAAGTGCCTGTGAGTATTTACAGCCACACTAGTCTGATACAGGGAATGAAAATGTATATACTTTGAACATAGAACTCACAAATCTAGCAAACCTGGGACAATCAGTAAGTCCCATGTTTAATTTTCAAATGGATCAGATAATTGTAACTTAGTAGTAGAGGTCCAAAAGCTAACGGCCATCTAGGCTAAAGGACACTGAAAAACCCAAATCCTTGACATGCTTTTTATTGACTGAAACTGCACTGTAATTGCTTTAATATCAATTTTATTTTTCTTTATAATCTGATTTCAGTGTTTTCAAAAATAAATATACCATTAGTATCTACAGAGTACTGTAGAACTGTAGGATATAAAATAGAGTATCAAACTTATTCTCACCTTCGCATGGTAGGTACCAATTTTATTAAAAAGAAGCATTTCTTAAATCTCCTGAAATGTCTTACTTTTCTTTTACTGTAACAAAACACCATGACCATGGCAGCTTATTAAAAAAGCATTTAAATTGGGACTTATGGCTCCAGAGCAGTGTTTTTCAACCTTCCTAATGTTGAACCTTTCATGCAGTTCCTCATTTTGTGGTGACCCCCAACCATAAGATTATATTTGTTGCTACTTCATAACTGTAATTTTGCTACTGTTATAAATGTTAATGTAAATATCTGGTATGCAGATGGCCTTAGGTGACCTCCGTGAAGGGTTCTTCCTAAAGGGTCATGGCCCAGAGGTCGAGAACCTCTGTTCCAGAGGGTTAAGAGTCCGTCATGGCAGAACAAATGCATGGTGGCAGGGACAGCGGAGAGCTTACATCCTGCTCTGAAAGTAGGAGGCAGAGAGGACACTAGGCATGGCCTGAATCTTTTGAAGCCTCAAATCTCATCCTCCAGCAAAGCCACACATTCTAACCTACCTAAACAGTGCTGCCAACTGGGAACTAAATATTCAGACATGAGCCTATGGGGCCCGTTCTCATCCAGACCACCACTCCTCTGGTTACAATTTGATTGTAGCCTACACAAGCTTCCATGCAGATATCTGACATGCAATGTGACTGCTTAAATCATCTAACACACTCAAGCAGTCACACCGTAAGTAAATTCAATATATTTTATTTAGCCCAATTTATCTCAAAATAGTTTTTCAGCATACAATCAGTATAACATGCATTCTGTGTTTATGTTGGTAATGTCTTTTGTTTTGCACTGGAGCACATTCATCTGAACACTAAACTACTGCAAATACTGTAATTATTAAAGTTGAGTGTCAGTTATTAAAGTTGTGCCTTAGCCTAGCCTTCTTCCCCATCTAGCTCTTAAATTAACCTCTTTATATTAATCTATGTTCTGCTGCATGGCTTGTGACCTTTCCTCGGTCTCTGGCTGGTGAACCTCCCTCCTTTGATTTTTTTTCTCAGAGTTCCTATTTCTGCCCAGAAGTCCTGCCTTCCTCTCCTGCCTTTGCTATAAGGCTGTTCAGCTCTTTATTAAACCAATCAGAAGGTATTGAAGGGAGTGTTTACAAGATATGATGCAGCCACAGAATAGTAATACCAAAGTCCGGCCTGTAACCAGGTCTCTGCTGGTATAGAAATCAGCATTTGAGTAACACAAAGTCAACCTCTACACAGTACACAAAAAGATCACCCCAACAGTAGATACCAAAATTTACAGTTGAAGAACACGCGCACACATACACACACACACACACACAGAGATAGACAGACAGACATTCCATGCACACCTAACTTCTTTCTGGCAGTTAAGTATCTGCTTCAAAAGTTAGAAAAGTTCAAATTTTACTTCTTTAGTCACCCTGCAAGTCACGTGCTCAGTAACAACACGTGACTGTTCTGTCACTTGTGTCACCCTGCAGTGCTCTCCTCCCTACGGTGGCTTCAATTTCATTAAAAGAATGGATAGGTTTCATACGAGTTTCCACTGGCATTATGATTAATAGTCCCTATTCTTGCTTAGCTCCAAACTTATCTTTTCTATATTTCCTTTAATTTCTCCTTTTTGCTTTTTTTTCTACTTCCATTGCAAGGCAAGCCTATCATTTGGCTCGCCTGTCCTAGTGTTTGTCTTAGTTGCAGTGACTGAACCACTGTATATTGGTTATATTGGAGATTCGTGTGGGGTTGCAGTGATCTTGGACCTAACTCAGTGTCAGCATGCTACCCAGCCTCACCCCTTGCCGTAATCACACACAGCCCTCTGTAGTCCTCACACAGGGGATCTTCTCACGCTGGCCCCATGTTAGCTTGACTGTAGTAACTAAGATGATCTGACATCCTACTTTACACATGAGGAAGTATCCAGCAGGAGATTCATGATTTTTGCCCCCATCCCACAGTGCTAAAGCTGGATTCAAACTCAGATTTCTGCCTAGGGCCTGCTTCACTGCTGTCCCAGAAGAGACTTCCAGAGAATCAGACCCCACTTCCTATCTGTCCTAGTCAACCTTCCATCTGTGGGCAGCCATGTTACATTCTCAAGACTTTAAATCATCTCTAGTATTCACTCAGATTTCTTCAAATAAATTGGGAAACTATCCTGTTACGCCAATGTGTATGGAATGTCAAAAATGGTAATTTAACATTATTGGAGTCACTTAAATGACTGTCTTGCAATGAGCTGGCCAGGAGGACCGCATCTCCTTGTTTATGTATACGTAGACCCATGATATGAGTGGAAAAAGAGTGATTACAATGGCAATAGCCAAGTGCATTCTTCCACCAACTGGAGTCCTGTAAAAATTAAAAAAAAAAATATTATAAAGTCTAAGAAAATAAATTGGTTTGAAAATACCTATAGAGTTTGAATTGGTAAAACATTACATCTTAATAGTTTCTCTTTATTGAAATTAATATTGACTTGTATAAAATCTTTATATACTTAATCTTGATTTTATGATGCAAATGCCTTTTCCCAGTCTGTTTTTTTTTTGGGGGGGAGGGGAGGAATAGTGATCAATTAGATTATGCTAAAATTGATTTTTCCCTATTTTTTGTAAGAAATAGTTCTCTTCCTGACACAGAGCCTTGCTGTGTAGCTCTTACTGGCCTTATATTTGTTATATAGCTCAGATGGCTTTGAACCTGCAGTAATCCTCCTGCCTCAGTCCCCTGAGTGCTGGGATAAGAAGATGTAACACAATGACCAACTTTTCCCAGGACCTTGAAGACATTACTGCTGTCTCTAAAAATGTTGTGGTTTTGTAATTTTAAAGTAGATCAGTAATCTACCTGGAAGTGACTTTTATGGAAGTTCTTTTTTCATACCAGTACAGTTTTCAAAACTAAAGATTTTGCCATCTGTGTTTATGAGTGAAATCACAAAGTAATTGTTAATTTTGTTTTTAACCGGCAATGTTTACTGTATCTATTTAGAGGCAATGCTTTCGGGCACATACACACTGAGAATGGCTGTATCTTCTTGATAAACTGAAGGTTTGGTCATTAAGAGTGTCTTTCTCGCCAGGTAGAGTGACAACGCCTATATTCCCAGCACTTAAGTGATAAAACAGAAAGATCAAATGTTCAAGATCTTCCTCTATTGTGAGTTTGAGGCCAGCAGGAGCTACATGAGGCCATGTCACAAACAAAAATGTGCACACACTCTCTTAAAACACACACACACACACACACACACACACACACACACACACACACACAC